CTTAAAAAAAAAAAAAAAAAAAGGAAAGGAAAGGAAAGAAAAACAAAACACGCCAGGCATATGGTCGGCCATGTGGCAGTCTAGCACCTTTAGCCGCCACACCTGCCGGCCCCCTGCTTTTGTTTGATTTAGTGGGAAGGAGACTAAAGTGGAAAGGATGGTTCTAACCAATCCCTCAGCTTTTGAGATGATGAGATGATTGATTGATTTATCTTTGCCATCCGGCATGTAGCTCACTGGAGAGAGAGAGTTAGGAAAAATGAGAAATCACCCCCTGGGGTGGGGCTGGCCACACCACAGTCCCTTCTCCTCCGTCCTCCTCTCGGGACTTTGGGCACACACACGTACATATTCCCATTTTTACTGGAACTGTCCTTATCAACAATGATCTCATATTTTCAAATCTTTATACTTACTTCTTCAGTCCCCCAAAGTTAAGGTAATGTGAACAAAAGATTTCACTGCCTTACCAGAACATTGTACTGCTTTAAAACCGGAATGCTATACATTTCTTACAATTAAATTATTTAGATTAGTCTTTCCTTCAGATTAACATGGCCTCTACTTACTAGAAAATAAATCTTCATGCTATCAGGGAATTTTTTTTTTTAATTCATGACTTAGGGCTTTAAATATTTACTTGAATCAATGAATGGAACTGATATAGATAATGGACAAAATGCAAAGAATTAGTAAATACATTCTGTTTCAGCATAAAATGTCATTTCTTCAGCTGTAATCTGGGGCCAGCAGGTAGCGTGGTGGTTAAGATGCTGGAATTCCCACGTGGCTGACCATGGTTCAAGTCCCAGACCTGGTAGCTTGCTTTCTCACTCTCTGTCTTTGGCAAAATTCATGTGAAAAATAATAATAACAATAATAAATAAATAATTCTTTTTAAAAAATGCAATTTCTTCAGCTGTAATCTTTTTTTAAGAATTATTTATTTATTCAATTTTATTTTTTATCTTTTGGAGAGGTTTTTGCTGTAGGGTGCGTGCACTTACCAAAAAGACATAGACCAAAAACAAGAAATAACGCCCCAGGGGTGTAGGGCCACACCACAATCCTTTCTCCTCCATTCTCCTCTTGGGATCTTGGGTATGCACGCACATGTACCCGGCATGAGTTTAAGCCACCGGGTCCAGGACTTGAACCGCAGTCGACTACATGGGAGTCCAGCGACATAGCCATTACGCCAACTGATGGTCCCATCAATTTTATTTATTATTATTATATTTATTTTTTAATTTGACCAGAGAGAGATAGAGAAAGAGAAAGCAAAAGTAAGAAACCAAGCCACCAGGTCTGGGACTCAAACCATGGTCAGCCATGTGGGAGTCCAGCACCTTAAACACCATGCCACCTGCTGGCTCCATCTTAAGCTGTAATCTTAATGTTCATTTATTTCATAAACAATTCATATCATATTCTCACAGCTGTCTTACCCGGTGTCCTCCATTAATGCCAGAGTGATTCGAGAGAGGACTCGGTTCTGGGTGTGAGAACCAGTCATTGCTTCATTCTGAAAATCACCAACAGATTTTAATTAGGAGCCTGGACTCTGTAACACCAAATAATTTCTGTGATCCTTCTTAAGCATTTATTTTGTAATTTTTTTAAGTTTATTTATTTCATGAAAGATAGAGGGAGAGAGAAAGAGACAGAGACAGGAATCCCCAACAGGTCCCTCATGCTGCAACCCATGCCCAGCCTCAAGCCAGCCTAGATCACAAGCACGTGTGCCCGGCACACACAGGGAGGCCCCAGGACACAAACCTGGGCCTGTCCATCTGGGCCTGGTGTATTACTGTTGTGTTACCAACTCGCCCTCTGTCATGTACTTAAAACGTTCCAAGTGTTAGAGACAAAGAGCATTGCAATGATGACATACACAAGCCTTCTTTTTTTTTTCTGGAGAGGTTTTTGCTATAGGGCGCGTGCGCTTGCCAGACAGAGAGAGGCAGAGAGAAAGAAAGCGAGAAATCACCGTCCGGGGGGATGGCCACCCCGCAATCCCTTCTCCTTCATTCTCCTCTCGGGATCTTGGCCAGGCACGCCCACTCACCCGGTGTGAGTTTAAGCCACCAGGTCCAAGACTCGAACCACAGTCGGCTACATGGGAGTTCAGTGACATAGCCATTACGCCAACTGCTGATCCCCACAAGCCTTCTTTAAGTCAACTAGACTGAAGTTTAAAGTGAAATTTATTTTCTGCCTCAAATGTCTCCATCGTGAATGATTTCCCTGAACGGCAGGCAGTGCATATTTAGAACTCTGTGATCGAAGTGAAGATAAGTATATATGGAAACTAACTACTGTAAAAATACACTCTCTAGGCAAAGTGGAGTGAGTGATTGAGACAGATGCCCAGATAACTTGGTATCAGAGAGGAATAGTAGTTCTTGACTGAGTTACATAGAAAACTATTTTTATCCACCTTAACTTTGGGGTCATTGAATCAAACTACCATGTAAAAAAAGTCTGACAAAATCAAAGGATTCACATGAGGGACCTAAAACATCATCAAGGTTTACGATCTACCCAGTATTTTGATTCACACTATAAAATCCCTATCAGGAGGTTACCCAATAGTGGGGACTTCGCTGTTTCTTAAGTGAGATCATTTCATCTTTGGACAGCTCTTGTTATTCTTCAGACCTTTACACTGAACACTGGATGATCGTCTCAAGTATTTTAATACCATCTTTTAAGAAGTTCAAGGGCTGGGACCAGCAGTTAGTGTAATGGCTATGTCGCTGGACTCCCACGTAGTCGACAGTGCTTCGTGTCCCGGATCTGGTGGCTTAAAACTCACGCCAGGCGCGTGTGCGTGCATGCCCAAGATCCCGAGAGGAGAATGGAGGAGAAGGGATTGCGGCGTGGCCATCCTCCCTGGGGGGTGATTTCTCGCTTTCTGTCTCTCTGTCTCTCTCTGTCTGTCTGGCAAGCACATGCGCCCTATAGCAAAATCCTCTCCAAATAAATAAATAAATAAATAAATAAATAAAGAAGTTCAAGGGCACAAAGTGGACTTTAGAGAAAGGAAGAAGTTAATGAAATTATTACTCTCAGGTCTTCGACTGAAAAGCACATAAATGTTAATTTACGGCCAATCTAGTTTTCTAAAGGGAGTCATTTGAAAATACTTCTTAAGGAAAATAAAGAAACTGAAGTTCTAGGATGGCTCTGTGGCACAGTGATGTGCTGCTCACGAGAAGCCTGATCACATACAGCAACAGCCATGCGAATTCCTGGCCGGTCAGCCCGGAACACGCCAGGCAGGCCTGCAGGGTCCAGCAGACTGTGACATAACCAGAGCCTGTGGGGGGTGTCTTTCTCTCTCTCCCCTCCTCTCTCATTCCCATGTGTTTGCACATGTATGCTATCATGAATAAAGAAAAAAAATGAAAAAAAAAAAACAGAAAACTCCTGAAATTCCCACGAAGGAGTAAGTGTATGTATCTTCCAAAAGTTTCTATTATTTACTTTGTGATTACCTAGATATGAATGATAATCACAAGCATTTTTTTTTTTTTTGAGAGGTTTTTGCTATAGGGCGCATGTGCTCACCAGATAGACAGAGAGAGACAGAGAGACAGAAAGCGAGAAATCACCCCCTGGGGGGATGGCCACTCCAACTTTGGACAACCACTAATCTGCTTTTTCTGTTTCTATAAATTGGCCTTTGGACATTCATATAAATCATACAATATGTAGTTTTATTTTACAATATGTAACACTTCAATTCTGTTTTTCCCCCCACATATAATCTATGTTGACCATGTAGCAATATTTCATTCCATTTTATAGCTATATATTTTTGCATTATATGAATACTACATTTTATTTATTCCAAAGAAACATTTGAGTTGTATCTAGTATTTGACTTTTATGAGTAATGCTCCTATAAACATTCCTGTATAAAACTTGGTTCATGTGGACATATGTTTTTTAATTTTTTTGGAGAGATTTTCGCTATAGGGCACGTGCACTCGCCACACAGACAGAGAGAGACATAGAGACAGAAAGCGAGAAATCACCGTCCGGGGGGATGGCCACACCTCAATCCCTTCTCCTTCATTCTCCTCTCGGGATCTTGGCCACTCACGCACACTCACCCGGTGTGAGTTTAAGCCACCAGGTCCAAGACTCGAACCACAGTCGGCTACATGGGAGTTCAGTGACATAGCCATTACGCCAACTGCTGATCCCCACAAGCCTTCTTTAAGTCAACTAGACTGAAGTTTAAAGTGAAATTTATTTTCTGCCTCAAATGTCTCCATCGTGAATGATTTCCCTGAACGGCAGGCAGTGCATATTTAGAACTCTGTGATCGAAGTGAAGATAAGTATATATGGAAACTAACTACTGTAAAAATACACTCTCTAGGCAAAGTGGAGTGAGTGATTGAGACAGATGCCCAGATAACTTGGTATCAGAGAGGAATAGTAGTTCTTGACTGAGTTACATAGAAAACTATTTTTATCCACCTTAACTTTGGGGTCATTGAATCAAACTACCATGTAAAAAAAGTCTGACAAAATCAAAGGATTCACATGAGGGACCTAAAACATCATCAAGGTTTACGATCTACCCAGTATTTTGATTCACACTATAAAATCCCTATCAGGAGGTTACCCAATAGTGGGGACTTCGCTGTTTCTTAAGTGAGATCATTTCATCTTTGGACAGCTCTTGTTATTCTTCAGACCTTTACACTGAACACTGGATGATCGTCTCAAGTATTTTAATACCATCTTTTAAGAAGTTCAAGGGCTGGGACCAGCAGTTAGTGTAATGGCTATGTCGCTGGACTCCCACGTAGTCGACAGTGCTTCGTGTCCCGGATCTGGTGGCTTAAAACTCACGCCAGGCGCGTGTGCGTGCATGCCCAAGATCCCGAGAGGAGAATGGAGGAGAAGGGATTGCGGCGTGGCCATCCTCCCTGGGGGGTGATTTCTCGCTTTCTGTCTCTCTGTCTCTCTCTGTCTGTCTGGCAAGCACATGCGCCCTATAGCAAAATCCTCTCCAAATAAATAAATAAAGAAAGAAAGAAAGAAAGAAGTTCAAGGGCACAAAGTGGACTTTAGAGAAAGGAAGAAGTTAATGAAATTATTACTCTCAGGTCTTCGACTGAAAAGCACATAAATGTTAATTTACGGCCAATCTAGTTTTCTAAAGGGAGTCATTTGAAAATACTTCTTAAGGAAAATAAAGAAACTGAAGTTCTAGGATGGCTCTGTGGCACAGTGATGTGCTGCTCACGAGAAGCCTGATCACATACAGCAACAGCCATGCGAATTCCTGGCCGGTCAGCCCGGAACACGCCAGGCAGGCCTGCAGGGTCCAGCAGACTGTGACATAACCAGAGCCTGTGGGGGGTGTCTTTCTCTCTCTCCCCTCCTCTCTCATTCCCATGTGTTTGCACATGTATGCTATCATGAATAAAGAAAAAAAAATGAAAAAAAAAACCAGAAAACTCCTGAAATTCCCACGAAGGAGTAAGTGTATGTATCTTCCAAAAGTTTCTATTATTTACTTTGTGATTACCTAGATATGAATGATAATCACAAGCATTTTTTTTTTTTGAGAGGTTTTTGCTATAGGGCGCATGTGCTCACCAGATAGACAGAGAGAGACAGAGAGACAGAAAGCGAGAAATCACCCCCTGGGGGGATGGCCACTCCACAATCCCTTCTCCTCCATTCTCCTCTCGGGATCTTGGGCACGCACGCACATGCGCCTGGCGTGAGTTTTAAGCCACCGGATCCAGGACATGAACCGTGGTCGACTATGTGGGAGTCCAGCAACATAGCCATTACGCTAACTGCTGGTCCCATCACAAGCATTAATTTTACTCTTTCATAATTTTACTAATATTAGTCATGATGTGTGTAAGCTGCAAACACCTAATTATCTAAATAGATCTCTAAAAACAAAAATATATATGTTGACCTAAAAATTCCACTTCTAAGGATTTGCCCTTTCTCTCTCTCTCTTTTAATGCTAGAGAGCACATGCATGCTCCCCAGAGAGCCACAGAGCTCATCATGCTGCGACCCCCTTCCCCAGCCCTGCAGCTCCTCGGATCCTTGGCACCTGTGTGCAATGTCTGGTGTCTTTCCAAACTGCCTGGGGGATCCAAACCCACAGTTAGCCATACAGTTTCCAGCTTGCAGGGCACTTGCATTACCACTGCACCACCATGGCTGGCCCCTTTCTCCGTCTACGTACACAGGTCTCCTTCTGACCTCGAGTTAACTTTCTAGTTCTGCTTCCCTGGAAAGCTAATAAAGATGGAATGTCAACTATGTCAGTAGATAATAGGAATTAAGGGAATAAAGACCTCCAGACATGCCTCCAGAGCTGGAATTACTGTAAATGTACAGTAAGTGAACATGAGTACTTGCTGGCAAGACACGGCTTGGGACTTGCCTGTGTGCAGTGACTCTTATGTGTATGTTCCTTATGGGGACCTGGAAGTTATGTCCATGGAACTGTTAAAAAAAGATACTGGTTCCTATCTGGGACATGGCCCTTCTAAGCCAGGCTGGTGCTGGAATCCACCTGCTATGGTCTTGTGCTCTCGTACTTGAGCAAGAGGGGGAAGGAGAGACTCACAGACGACAGCCCCTAGACTGTGGCGTGGAGCACAAGAGAAATACCCGACTCTGCCGTGCTGGCATGCTGTGCATTCTTTCTCGTATCCTCCTAAGGAAATATTTCTTCAGTGTGGCCTGTGTTTAATTTAACTGTTTAGGTGAACTTAGGAATACCTGTTGAAACACCACCCCTGGTAGGTATCCCAGACGTAAGTAAGTTGATCTTGACAATATTTTTTAAAACAAAAAAATTGGGACCAGCAGATGGCATAATGATTACAGCACTGGACTCTCACGTAGTTGACCGTGGTACGAGTCCTGGACCCGGCAGCTTAAACTCACGCTGGGCATGTGTGACTGCATGCCCAAAATCCCAAGAGGAAAACAAAGGTAAAGGAATTGTGGTGTGACCAGCCCCTTTGGGGGGTGATTTCTCACTTTCTGTCTCTCTCTCTCTGGGGATCACATGAGCAGGATAGCAAAAATCTCTCTTAACAACAACAAAAAAAATCAAAGCACCTGGTCATTAATACAGGACTGTTATGCTACATTCATATAATACTATGTAGCTATTAAAAAGTGAGAGCTACAAGAATGCAGTCTCTTCTGCTAAAGCAAGGATTTGCTTCCCAGCCTTGACACCCTTTTGGCAGTGCTCTGGTTACTTGTTTCTCACAGAGGCCTTATTATTGCTAGTGTTTAATTTTGAAGAAAGCAGTTTTTAGGAAAGCACATGTTATATTAAAACAGAAGCATCTGATCTGCTTTGGAAAGATACCTACGATATACCGTGTAAGTGAAAAAAAATTGTAGAAATTTCTGAACTCATTTTATAAATGAGTATGTGAGGACCAACAGCTGGCATAATGGTTATGTCGCTGGACTCCTATGTATTTGACCACAGTTCGAGTTCTGGACTCAGCAGTTTAAAACTCATACCGGGCATAGGGAACCAGCAGTTAGCGTAATGGCTATGTCGCTGGACTCCCATGTAGTCGACCGCGGTTCATGTCCTGGACCCGGTGGCTTAAAACTCACGCCGGGCGCGTGTGCGTGCGTGCCCAAGATCCCAAGAGGAGAATGGAGGAGAAGGGATTGCGGCGTGACCATCCCCCCGGGGGGTGATTTCTCGCTTTCTGTCTCTATGTCTCTCTCTTGTCTGTCTGGCGAGCGCACGCGCCCTACAGTGAAAATCTCTCCAAAAAAAAAAAAAACAACTCAAACCAGGCACCTGTGCATGGGTGCCCAAAATCCCAAGAGGAGAATAAAGAAGGGACTATGGCATGGTCATCCTCTCTGAGGGGTGGAGAGGAGTGATTTTTTGCTTTGTCTCTCTCTGTCTCTCTGACAAGTGCACACGCCCTACAGGAAAAATCTCTCTCTCAAAAAAAAGAAAAAAAGAGTACGTATACATACCCATACAAAAATACTTACATACTTTGTGTGTATGTGTGTGTTTATACATACATAACATAAAAGCACTTACAGAAGGATGTACAAAAACTCAAATAGTGATTATATCTGGAGAGTGGGTCTAGAAAGATAAAGGGGAAAAGAGACCTGAAAAATTATTTTATTAGGGCAAGCAGATGGCATAGTGATTAAGGAGCTAGACTCCCACATGGCCGACCATGGTTCGAGTCCCAGACCTGGTGGCTTGAAAACCACTGTAGGCACATGTGCATACATGTCTAAAATCCCAGAAGGAAAATGGAGAAGGGACTGTAGCATGATCATCCCCCCTGGGGGCTGATTTCTCACTTTCCTTCTCTGTCTCTCCCTGGTGAGCATACACACCCTATGGTAAAAGCCTTAAAAAAGTTATTTCACTTTATGATCTGTTTGAATAACTTTTCCCATGAGTATGAATTCATTTTATTAAATAAAAATAGCTTAGGAAAATGTAAAAATAACCTGACCTCCAGAAGCCGCTTTTCCCAATGGTTGAGCTCAGTGCCCATGCCGCCTTGATTTTCAAGTTCCATTCCCTCCAGAACCGGACAGTTGAAATGCTTTCGTGCTTCATCCTAAAAATCAGAAACAAAGATAAACTCCTTAATAGTAGTATAAGAAATGACGAACTCTTGGGACCAGCAGTTAGCATAATGGCTGTGTTGCTAGACTCCCATGTAGTCGACCGCGGTTCGAGTCCCGGACCTGGTGGCTTAAACTCACGCCAGGTGCGTGTACGTACGTGCCCAAGATCCCGAGAGGAGAATGGAGGAGAAGGGATTGCGGCGTGACCATCCCCCCTGGGGGGTGATTTCTCGCTTTCTGTCTCTCTGTCTCTCTCTGTCTGTCTGGCAAGCGCATGCACCCTATAGCAAAAACCTCTCCAATAAAAAAAAAAAAAAAAAAAGAAATGATGAACTCTTTATCACAAGCATATAATAGACAGTAAAGAGTTACTTAGGTGAGGGACCAGCAGATGGTGTAATGGCTATGTCGCTGGACTCCCATATAGTCGACCGCGGTTCAAATTCCAGATCTAGCAGCTTAAACTCATGCCAGTCATGTGTGCGTGCGTGTCCAAGATCCCGAGAGGAGAACGGAGGACAAGGGAATCACCCCCGGGGGGTGATTTCTCGCTTTCTGTATGTCTCTGTCTGTCTGGTGAGTGCATGTGCCCTATAGAAAAAACCTCTCAAAAAAAAAATAATAATTTTTAAAAGAATTATCATTATTTTAATCATTTTAATTATTTTTATTTATTTTATTCATTTATTTATTTTAATTTGACCAGAGAGGGACAGAGTGTGAGAGAGGGAGGGAAAGTAAGAAGACAAGCCACCAGGATAGGGACTCAGACTGTAGTCAGCCATGTGGGAGTCCAGAGCCCTTAACCACCACACTACCTGCTGGCCCCTTAAGAAATCATTCTAATAAGAAAGCAGAGTGCTGTGTGTCCTCAAGGAAGCAGAAAGGGAAAATAGCTTTTTAAATTAAATAAAGGGTAAAAGGTACCCTGTAATGGTTAACATTATGAGTCAACTTGGTTGAACCATGGTGCTTAGATATTTGGTCAAACATTAGTCTGGATATTTCTGTGAGTACATTTTTTTCCCCCTTAAGAATTATTTATTTAATTCCATTTGTTATTGTTCGATTTTTTTATTTGACCACCAGAAAGAGAGAGAGAGAAAGGGAAAGCGAGAAAGCAAGCCACCAGGTCCAGGACTTGAACCATGGTCGCCCATGTGGGAATCCAGCGCCCTTATCCACCACACCTCCTGCTGGCCCCAGTACATTTTCTTTTTAAAAGAGATTTTTTCTATAGGGCACATGTGTTCACTGGAGAGACAGAGACAGAGAGACAGAATGTGATAAATCACATCCCCAGGCAGAATGGCCATGCTGCAATCCCTTATTCTCCATTCTCCTCTTGGGATCTTGGTCACGAACTCACATGCACCCTGTGCAAGTTTTAAGCCACCTGGTCTGGGACTGGAACCATGGTTGACTACTTGGGAGTCCTATGACATAACCATTATGCCATCTGCTGGTCCCGCTGTGAGTGCAGTTTTTAATGGGATAACTATCTACCTATAGTATCTGTTTATGTAAATTGCCAGAGGGCATGCACTTGCCAGAGAGAGAAGAAAGCACCCCACGACGGGGTGTGGTCACGCTGCAATCCCTCTCCCTTCACCTTTCAGTCTCGTCAGGACTCTGCGCACACACGCACGTATGTCCACAGTGTGTTTCAAGCCCACGGGGTCAGGACTCAAACTGCAGTTGGCCATAGGGGATATAGCTCCCTTAACCTCTAGCCACAGGGCCAGTCTGCAATTCATATTAAATCAGTGGATTTGAGCAGATTATCCTCCTTAATGTAGGTGGGCCCATCTAATCAGCTGAAGCCTTAAACAGAACCAAAAGTAGGAAGCAATTCTGCCTTTTTTCCCAAACTGCAACTCTTCTGTTTATTGAGAGATTTCTGCTACAGGATGTGTGCCTGCCAGAGAGACAGAAAGTGAAAAAGAAGCCCCCTAGCGGAGATGGCCACATCACAATTTCTCCATTCTTCTCTCAGGATTTTGAGCATGCACGCACACATACCCAACATGAGTTTCAATCCACTGGATCCAGGCCTCGAACCACCGTCAGCCACATTAGACTCCAGTGCTTTAACCACTACACCATCTGCTGGCCCTGCAACTCGTCTTTGAGTCTCTAGCCTGAGATTTGGACTTGCCAAGCCTCTGTAGCTGTGTGGGTCAATGCCTTAAAGGAAATCTCTCTCTCTACATACACACACACAAATTCATCCTCTGATAGTATTTCTGTGGAAAACCTTGACTGATACAGACCCCAGTAAATAATCATCAGTTATAGATATAGTAGCAGTGATTCTTTTTTTTTAAAAATAATTATCTATTAAATTATATTTATTCATTCATTTATTTTAATTTGACCAGAGAGAGACAGAGATAGAAAGAGAGGGAAAGTGAGAAAGCAAGCCACCAGGTCCGGTATTCAAACCGCAGTCGGCCATGTGGCAGTGTCCAGTGCCTTAACCACCATGCCACCTGCTGATCCCCCTTTTTTAAAAAAAAAATTATTATTATTTATTTAATTTTATTCAAGTACCAGTGATTCTGAAGAGGTACTACGAGATGGGCTGGCAGGTGGTGTGGAGGTTAAGGGCACTGGACTCCCACATGGCTGACCACAGTTCGAGTCCCAGACTTGGTGGCTTGCTTCTCACTTACCTTCTCTTTCTCTCTTCCTCTCTGGTAAAATTGAAATAAATAAATAAATAAAGCTAAATAAAATAATTCTTAAAGAAAGAAAGAAAAGAAAAGAAAAAAAAGAGGTACCACAACAGAGAAGGCACTGACTTAAAGCAGTGGGTAGGATGGGGGCTAGGAGTATCATTGCAAATTTTCCAATTTCTCAGGTTTCTTTGGCTTGAAGCTTTATTATACTGTCTTTATGCTACTTTTCCTAATATAGGCTCTAAGCTTTAATCATAAGATCCTAAATAGTGATTAGTAAAGAGTGACTGGTAAAGAAAGGCCCACAGTGAAGGAAGGGTCCCTGCCTCCCAAGACATGAAGTTCAGAATACTTACAACAACGCGAGGTGTTACTAGGAGATACACGGTGTGGCGAACTATCTTATTATCTCGAACATCCCATAATCTCTCCACTTTTCGAACTACTTTATCACTCCATTGATATAGTCCAAGACTGTAATAATGGAATAAAAAGTCATTTTTTTAAATTTACCAAGACTTTAAATGTGTTTATATAAACATCAATATGAAATTAACATGTTTGAAATTTGACTATGTACCAAGACCATACAAAGCACTAAAGAAACATTCTCTAATTTAATATTTTCGACCACCCTGAGATCATAACTCCTATTTTGAAGATAAAAAGACAGACACTTAGAGAGATGAGGTGACGTACTCAAGTTCACATAGCTAATACTTGATAACAATGAATTACTTCCTTTACACAATTTGCGTTTTTAATTCATGGTAGAGTGCTTATGAGTGTGAGACAGAGAAAGGGAGAGAAGAGCCCTCCACAAGGCTGGTCACAATCCCCTTCCTCCTGCTCCCAGCCTGCCAGGAGCCTGGGCATGCACATATGTGTCTAGCATATTTTCAGGCCAGCTGGGCCAGAAACTGGAACCCTGGTGGGCATGTGTTTTTTAGCTCTGTAACCTATAAAACTGCCAGCTGTGTCACAGGCAGGGCTTTAAAAAAAAAAATTTTTTTTTGATAGATAAAACAGAAGCAAGTCCAAAAACATATCTGAGCATACAAAACAAAAAACAGGGGCCAGCAGGTGGCATGGTGGTTAAGGATGTGGGACTCCCACATGGCTAACAGTGGCTTGAGTCCCAGAGCTGGCAGCTTGCTTTCTTACTTTCTCTCTCTCTCTCTCGCACTCTGTTCCTCTCTGGACAAATTAAAATAAATAAATAAATACATAAAATAAAGTCAAGTAAAATGATTCTAAAAATACAAAAATCTAGGACCAGCAGTTAGCATAATGGCTATGCCGCTGGACTCCCATGTAGTTGACCGCAGTTCGAATCCCAGATCTGGCGGCTTAAACACATGCTGGGCGCGTGTGCGTGCGTGTGTGCCCAAGATCCCGAGAGGAGAATGGAGGAGAAGGGATTGCGGCGTGGCCATCCCACCTGGGGGGTGATTTCTAACTTTCTCTGTGTTTCTCTGTCTTTCTGGCAGGCCCATACGCCCTATAGCGAAAACTTCTCCAAAAAAAAATCTTGGGGCCAGTAGTTGGTATAATGCTTATGTTGGTGGACTCTCATGTAGTTACTGCAGCTCAAGTCCTGGACCCAGGAGTTTAACTCATGCCGAGCACGTGTGCATGCGAGCCCAAAATCCCAAGAAGAGAAATGGAGGAGAATGGATTGTGGCATGGTCATCTTCCCTGGGGGGTGATTTCTTACTTTCTATCTCTTGGGCAAGTGCACATGCCCTATAGTGAAAATCTCCAAAAAAAAAAAACTAAAAACAAAAAACAAAACTTAATAAAAACTATGCCATATTTAATTCAGTGGAAAAGTAAATATTATCCATTTGAAAATATAGCTAAATCTCTATTTCATGCCATATACAAAAATAGATTTACTCCAGAAAGAAATCAGCAAAAATGGCAGTGTAGGGGCTGGCAGGTGACATGGTGGTTAAGGTGCTGGACTCCCACATAGCTGACTGTGGTTCGACTCCCACACCTGGCAGCTTACTTTCTCAGTTCTTCTCTGTCTCTCTCTGGGGACCGCACATGTCCTATAGCAAATTAAACAAAAATAAATAAATAAATAGGGACCAGCAGTTGGCTTAATGGCTATGTTGCTGGACTCCCATGTAGTTGACCACGGTTCAAGTCCTGGACCCAGTGACTTAAACTCACGCTGGGCACATGTGTGTGCACGCCCAAGATCCCGAGAGGAGAATGGAGGAGAAGGGATTTCAGCGTGGCCATCCCCCCGGGGGGTGATTTCTCACTTTCTATCTCTCTGTCTCTCTCTGTCTTTCTGGCAAGCGCACAAACCCTATAGCAAAAACCTTTCAATAAATAAATAAATAAAATATTTTTTTTTAAATGACAGTATAATGTTCTCTGAAAAGTCTCCATGAGGGACCAGCACTTAGCGTAATGGCTATGTCACTGGACTCCCATGTGGTCGACTGCGGTTCGAGTCCCAGACTTGGTGGCTTAAAAAATTCACGCCAGGCATGTGTGCGTGAGTGCCCAAGATCCCGAGAGGAGAATGGAGGAGAAGGGACTGTGGCATGGCCATCCCCCCTGGGAGGTGATTTCTTGCTTTCTATCTCTCTGTCTCTGTCTGTCTGTCTGGAGAGCGCACGCACCCTATGGCAAAAACATCTCAAAACAAAACAAAACAAAATAAAAAAGTCTCCATGAAAGCAATGAGAAAACTAGCCAAATTGGCAAAATAAACTTTTTTAGAGCTGGATGATTTTTAGAAATTAACCAAAGGCTTGTAACAACCTAGGAAGCATTTATTCGGGAAAACTGGATGAATCTTAGTAAGAACAGTAAGCTTTATGATGCTTTCCTCTCTCTAGCTTCACAGCAGCCTTAGAAACACCACACAACACGGTGAAAACCAGTAACTGGCAGTCACTGAAAGGAGCAGAATAGAGCTGACCTGCAAAATGGAAAACATGATCCAGCTACATAGTTTAGACTCAAAGATACAAATATATGGAAAGTAAAGGGATTAGAGATCTACAGGTTGAGCATCCCAAATCTGAAATTTGAAATCCAAAATGCCCTAAACTCAAAACTTCCTGAACAGTCATGTTATGCCACAGTGGAAAATTCCGCATCTGACCTCATGTAATGAACAGTCAAAATGTCCCAATACAAAAATATTTTGAGGGGATCAGCAGTTAGCGTAATGGCTATGTCACTGGACTCCCATGTAGTCAACCGCGGTTCACGTCCCGGACCCAGTGGCTTAAAACTCACGCCGGGCGCGTGTGCGTGCATGCCCAAGATCCCGAGAGGAGAATGGAGGAGAAGGGATTGCGGTGTGACCATCCCCCGTGGGGGGCGACTTCTCGTTTTCTGTCTCTCTGTCTCTGTCTGTCTGGAGAGCACACGCACTCTATAGCGATAAACCTCTCCAAAAAAAATTTTTTGTAAAATGAACTTCGGGCTATGTGTATAACACATATACAAAATGTAATTTGTGTTTAGACTTGGGATCCATTCCCAAGATATTTCATTATCTATATGCAAATATTACAACCTCACCCCCCCACCGCCCCAGTTTCAAAATCCAAAACACTTCTGGTCCAAAGTGTTTCAGTTAAGGAATGTTCATCCTGTGCTATGTAAATAATATTCAAAAAGAGGGCTGGAGCAGCTATACTAACACCAGAAAAAACAGACTTTAAGACTAAGGTTGTTCCTGGAGGTCCAGTGCGTAGCATACAAACTGTGGTGCTAGAAGCCACAGGGCTGGCCACAGGTTCAGAATCCCAGCCCGGCTGAGGTGGCACATACTGGGTGTACAACCCCATGTCCAAGACCCCGAGAAGCGGCACAGCTGAAGGAAAGGGATCCCTGTGTGACCGCCCTGCTGGGGTACTTCTCTCATCTCTCCCTCTCTCCCCTCTCCTACATATACTCACTATCATGAATAAACTTTAAAAAACAGCTACTAAAGACAAAGAAAGGCATTTAATAACAACAAAAGGGCCAGTCCATCAGAAAGTGTAGCAATTATAAACATGTATGGACCTTACGAAAGAACCGCAAAGTATATGAATTGAAAGGATATTCCAGAGGCCAGTATGTGGCAGCTGGCTCCCACATGTGGAAAAAACATTCTGGATGTGTGTGCATGCTTGCCCAAATCCCAAGATGAAAATGGAGAAGAAAGGACTGTGGTGCAGCCATCTCCCCTGGGGAGTACTTTCTTCCTCTCCCTGTCTCTGATTTTTCTCTCTGGCAAGTGTGCACACTCTTTAGCAAATTAAAAAATAAAATTAAAAAAAGAAAGTACATTCCAAATGAATTAAAATGATGAATACTTAAAAATCTAGTTATAATTTAACTGGGATAAATTTAGCTGAATATTTTTATAATATTTGGAGAGCAGAAACCTTCTTACATAATAAAATAAAAGCGGAGAAATTTAATGACATAAAATCTAAAACCTGGCCTACCCTGATTCCCATTTGATACTAAACTGAAGTACCCATGCTGGAAGCCACATAGCAACTGAAGGACACAGAGTTGGGCTTGAAAATACACACGCATGCCCAATACTCCGATGGCTGGGGGTGAGAAAAGGAAACTGCAGCGTGAGGAAACCCTGCTAAGGCTGCTTCTCTTTCTTTTACCTGACACACGTGCACATGCTAATGTGAATAAGATAAAAATAAACTTAAAAAATAAAACGACTTTTATATATGGCAAAAATATAATAAAAAGGTAAACTAATTAGGAAAAATATTTGCAACAAATATGGAAAATGATCAATATCCCTAATTTATAAAAAATTATTTGTTTTTTGGATGGGTTTTGCTATAGGGTATGTGCACTAGCCAGAAAGACAGAGAGAAACAGAGAGATAGAAAGCAAAAAATCACTCCCCAGGGTGGATGGCCATGCCACAATCCCTCCTCCTCCATTCTCCTCTGAGGATCTTGGGCATGCATGCACACGCGCCCAGCATGAGTTTTAAGCCACCAGGTCCAGGACTCGAACCACAGCTGATTACATCGTAGTCCAGTGACATAGCTATTACGCCAAATGTTGGCCCCATAAAAAATTCTTATAAAGTGATCAGAAAAAGGAAAACTTGGGGGCTAGCCAGTTGGTATGGTAGTTAGTGTAGCTGGGTCCCACATGGCCTACTGCGTGGTTTGAGTCCGAGGTGTGGCGATTTGAGGAATACAACAGGCACATGTATGTGTGCCTAATATCCCAAGAAAAGGGGTTATGTCATGGACATCCCCTCTGGAGGTTGCTTTTTCACTTTCCCTCTCTCTGGCAAGTGTATGAGCCCTGTAGCAAATTTAAAAAAAAGAAAAAGAATACTAGAAGCTGGTTGGTAAAATAGGTAGAACGTGATGATTCTGTGACACAATCCCATGTGAGAAAGTTTTCAGTTCAAGTCCTGAGATTCCCTCAGTGTGCCAGGTACACACTGCCCATGAGTCAAGACTAGCTGAAAGCTAGGGGTGGGTTGTAGCATTGGAACCCTGTTTGGGGTGTGTCTCTCTCTGTCTCTCTCACTCATGGAAGAAAGAAATAACCTTAAAAAAAAAAAAAAAAAAAAAAAAAAAGGTGGATCAGCAGTCGCTGAATTCCCATGTAACTGACCGCAGTTCAAGTCCCAGACCCGGTGGCTTAGACTCACGCCGGGCGCATGTGCGTGTGTGCCCAAGATCCCGGGAGGAAAATGGAGAAGGGATTACGGCATGGCCATCCCCCCGGGGAGTGATTTCTTGCTTTCTATCTCTCTCTCTCTGTCTGTCTTTCTGGCGAGCACACGCACCCTATAGCAAAAACCTCTCCAAAAATAATTAATTAACTAATTAATTTTTTTAAAAAAAGAGGGATCAGATGGCATGATGGTTAGGATGCTAGATTCTCACAATGCCAAACAGGGTTCAAGTCTCAGACCGGGTGGCTTGCTTTCTCAATTTTCCTCTCTCTCTCTCTCTCCCTCTCACGCTCTCGTGAGCACACATGACCTGTAGCAAATTAAAAGATAATAATGGGACCAGCAGGCGGCATGGTAGTTAGAGGTGCTGGACTCCCACATGGCCGACCACAGTTTGAGTCCTGGACCTAGCAGCTAGCTTTTCACTCACCACCACCCCACCCACCCTGTCTCTCACTCTGCCTCTCTCCGGTCAAATTAAAAAATAACTTACTAACTAAATAAAGTTAAGTAAAATAATTCTTTAGGGACCAGCAGTTGGTGTAATGGCTATGTTGCTAGTCGACTTTCATGTAGTTGACCACGGTTCGAGTTCCAGACCCAGTGGCCTTAATTCATGCTGGGTGTGTGTGTGTGCATGCCCAAGATCTGAGAGGAGACTGGAGGAGAAGGGATTGCAGAGTAGCCATCCCTCCTGGGGGCATGATTTCTAGCTTTCTGTCTGTCTGTCTCTCTCTCTTTCTGGCAAGCACACGCACCCTATAACGGAAACCTCTGAAAAAAAAAATCTTTAAAAAAAGATAATAGTGTGGACCAGCAACTGGCATAATGGCTATGTCGCTGGACTCCTGTGTAGATGACCACGGTTCGAGTCCCGGACCTGGTGCCTTAAACTCGCGCTAGGCACATGTGCATGCGTGCCCAAGATCCCAAGAGGAGTATGAAGGAGAAGGGATTGTGGCATGTCCATCCCTCCTGGAGGGTGATTTCTTGCCTTCTGTCTCTGTCTTTCTGGCGAGCGCATGCACCTTATAGCAAAAACCTCTCCAAAAAAAAAAAAAAAAGAGAGAGAGAGATAACAGCAATAATTTTATTTATTTATTTGTTTGTTTGTTTGTTTTCATTTGACCAAGAGAGGTACAGAAAAAGAGAGAGAGAGGGAAAGTGAGAAAGCAAGTTGCCAGGTCCAGGACTCAAATCATGGTCAGCCATGTGGGAATGTCCAGCACCTTAACCACCATGCCACTTGCTGGCCCTAAATAATTCTTAAAAAAAAAAAAAATAAAATAGAGAGGCCAACAGGTAGCACAGTGGTTAAAGGTGTTGGACTTGACCACGGTTCAAGTCCCAGAACCATTGGCTTGCTTTCTCAATTTCCCTCTCTTTCTCTCTGTCTCTCTATGGTCAAATTATAAAAAAAGAAAAGCAAATTAAATTAAATAAATAATTCTTTAGAAAGAAAACTAAAAGACTGGACAGAGAAAACAAGGCAGTTTATAAAGAGAAAATGCAAATGGCCAAAACCTCACTAATAGTCCTGGAAGAATAACAATGGGATACCATGTTCTATTTATCAAAACAGCTTTAAAAAGTGATCTACAATATCCAGTACTGGTAAGGTGGTAACAAAAGCACTTATACATTCCTGATGAGAATGTGATCTACCACTTTTTTTTTTTTTGCTAGAGGGCATACATGCTCACTGGAGACAGAGAGGGAGAGAAAGGAAAAGTGAGAAGGCAGGACACAAGAGGGATGGCGATGCCACAATCCCTGCTTCATTTCTCTTCTCGGGATTTAGTGCACACACCATCATAAAATGGAGGAGCAAGAAGAAAAATGACTAATACCTGTAATTAAAAGGTGGCAGACCATCTGCAAATCTTGAAGTTAGTGGATTTCCATCTTTATCATGGTAGAAGGCAAACAGCCCAGCAGAGAAACCCTAAAAGACAAAGTTTAAAATGTTTTAGAGAAAAATATCAGGTTTGATCACATCTTAACATGCCTTACCATGCCTGCTAGCAAGAAAGCACTTAAAAGTGCCACGTCAATACTTGTACATAGGGACCAGCAGATGGTGTAACAGTTACGTCGCTGGACACCATGGTTTGAGTCCTAGACCCGGAGTTTTCAGATTCACGCTGGGCGTGCGTGCATGCAAGTCCAAGATCCCAAGAGGAGAATGGAGAAAGGACTATAGCGTGGTCATTTCCCCAGGGGGTGATTCTCACTTTCTGTCTCTCTGTCCTTCCAATGAGTGCACACACCCTAAAGCAAAACTCTCTAAAAAACAAACAAAAAAAAACTTGTACAGGAACTTCTCATACAGTGGAACTGGGTAATAATTAAGTGTGCCATATTTATGAATTTTAAATTCTAATTACTTGAGGTAAAAAAAAAGTTAAGTTTTTGTTATAGGGAGTGTGTGCTTGCCGGAGACACACACACACACACACACACACACACAGAGAGAGAAAGAGGGAGGGAGGGAGGGAGGGAGGGAAAGTAAGAAATCACCCCCAATAGGGGTATGGCCATACTGCAATCCCTTCTCCATTCACCTCTAAAGATTTTGGTCAGGAACACACACACATCCGGAGTGATATTCTAGCCTCTGGGACTGAGACTTGAACCATGGAATTGGCCATGTGGGATGCAGTCCCTTTAACCTCCATGGTACCTGCTGGCTCAGTAAACATGTTTTTATAGTTTTATTCATTTCTTCCATGAGAGAGACCAAAACCTGTATCCCAAGCAGGGTCTTCCCACTGTGATCCTCCCGAGCTTCAGCCAGTGGGATTATGGGCATGAACCTGCCTGGCTTGCTCAAGGAAATGCCAGGATGCAGACCCGAGACCTCTTCCATGGGACCAGTGATGTTATTACTGCACCACTGCCTGGCCCCAAGGTAAACATTTTTAACTAAAACTTCCAAAATGCACTATGTATTTTAAAACTACAGCCAGTATAAATATTATAAACATCAATTACTGCATTAAAATGATACTTTCAGATGCCATTAGAACTTAAAAACAATGTATTAACATGTATTTTAAATGTTTCCATATGTCTGCTTTTTAAAGCCATTATGGTCTTCCTCCTTGTTTGAGAACACATCGAGCATCATTTCTGGTTGCTGCATGAGTTGAAAGGACAGAAGAAATATATGAAATTGGCTATGCAGTTAGTTATGAAACTCAGTACACTGTTTAAAATATTTTATTGCTTAAAATAAAATAAATAAACTTAATTAAAAATTACTGTGGAGGGGGCCAGCAGGTGGCATGGTGGTTAAGGCACTGAACACTCCCACATGGCTGACCACCAGGTCTGGGACTCAAACCATGGTCAGCCATGTAGGAGTGTCCAGTGCTTTAACCACCACGCCACCTCTGGTCCACAAGTTAACTGACTCTTGACACCACTGCAACAATTCGTATTCCTTAAAACTCCTAATTTTAGGTCTATGTTATTATCTCTAGCTTGCTTTCTCACATCCTCTCTCTCTCTGTCTCTCTCTCTCTTTCTCTGTGTGTGTGTGTGTGTGTGTGTGTGTGTCTCTCTCTGTCAAAAATAAATGAACAAATAAATAAAATAAAAAAATAAAAAGCATTATTTTAAAAATCACTGTGAAGATATACATTGCTACGTAGAGTTCAAATACTTACAAAAAGCAAGAGCATTCAGGTGGTGGTGCAGTGATAATTCAACTGGACCCACATGAAAAAGGTCCTAGGATTGCATCCCAAGACCTTCCTGGGCACATGGGGCATGTATACACATGCCCAAATTCCAGGCTGGCTGAGACTCAGGAGGATCATGGCATAAAAACCCTGTTGGCAGTGTCTGTCTTTCTGTCTATTTTTTGAGAGATTTTTGCTATAGGGCACGTGCGCTCAGTGGAGAAAGTGAGAAATCACTTCCCAGGGGAGGAAGGCCATACCACAATTCCTTCTCCTCCGCCCTCCTCTCGGGATTTTGGGCATGCATGCACACACACTCAGCGTGAGTTCTAAATCCCCGGGTCCTGGACTTGAACCGTAGTTGGCTACATGGGAGTCCAGCAATGTATCCTTAATGCCATCTGCTGTTCCCTCTCTCTCTTTCTCTCATTAAAAAAAAAAAAAAAAAGAGTAATTATTTAGTTAACACTTTGGTTTCCCCTAATTTTGAGAAGATAAGTCAGTCTCTTTGTTACTTCTTTCCTCCAAGGATATCCACGGCTACCAGAAGCAGTAGCCCAGGCTCTGCCGTAACTATGGTTTCCAAATCCCTTCTAGTGTCTTTTATTCATAAATCTAAGAACTTTAAGGGAGGAAAACCTTATATGAATGTTATTGTATTTCAAAAGAAAATCTAAGGCGTAAAGTGTAATGATAACAAAGACGGTTGTTAGATGTGCTAATCATAATTGCTCTCTTCACTTGAATTTACTGACTTTCCAGTTACCTAGGGAATACTGCTATTGAAAATCATTAACAAGGGGCCAGCAGGTGGTGTGGTGGTTAAAATAGAACAGATAAAATAAGTAGATTCCCATATAGCTAACTATAGTTCCAGTCCTGGACCCAGCAGCTTGAAAATCACAACACAATCACAATAGACAGATGACAGATAGACATAGATAAATGTTTTGAAAAAAGAAAACCATCAACAATATCATGCAGGGTATGGAGCTGGGAGTCAAATGTACTCCTAAGACACTTGTAAAAATTTGTATACATACATACACACAATAAAGAAAAGATCGGGAAAGGTGTGTGTGTGTGTGTGTGTGTTCATGCATATTAGACTGGAAACATACCTATCTATGTAAACCAGTAGGTAGTATGATGAGTAGGGTGCTGGACTTCCACCTAGCTAACTGCAGTTCAAGTCCTGGACCCAGTGGCTTGAAAATCACGCTGGACGTGTGTGCATGTATGTGTATCCAAACTCCTCCAAGGAGAATGGAGGAAAAGGGATTGGGATTGTGGTGTAGCCATCCCCTCTGGGGAGTGGCTTCTTACTTTCTCTCTATCTCTCACTGGTGAGCACACATACCCTATAGCAAAAAAAAAAAAAAACTAAGAAAAGTTAGCTATGATTCTTTGGTAGCAAGGTAATGGATAAAGTCATCCATACTACAAATATTACAAAGTTTTTTGTGTTTTTTTTTTTTAAGAGAGATGTTATCTATAGGGTGCATGTACTCACCAGGAAGACAGAGACAGAAAGGGAGAAATCAGCCCCCACCAGGCGGTATGGCACACCAAAATCCCTTCTTCTCCACTCTCCTCTCAAGATTTTGGACACGCACAAGTGTGCCCAGTATTTTTCAGGTCGCTAGGTCCAGGACTCAAACTGTGGAGTGAGCCATGTGGGATCCAGTGCCTTAACCATCATGCACCTGCTGGCTCCATCTTTGCAATATTTATATGCACTTATTTTGTCACCTAATTAATCTGAAATTTTTTCTAAGCACTCATAAGGTCCATCTAGTATTAGGAATATCGTGGATGACTGTGATTGACAGCTATGAGCACATATAACTTGACGGTAGCATCTGTGAGTGTAACATTTAGCCTTGAGGGTTTTTTTTTTTTTTCTGTCATTGCTTGTTGGTTTTAAATTTTGTTTTAAGGTGTGTGCACTTGCTGGAGAGAGGGAGAGGGACAGAGAGAAAGTAAGAAATCACCCCCCAGGAAGGAGGGCTACACCACAATCCCTGCTGCATTCTCCTCTAGGGCCTTAGGGCACACAGTACACCCACATGGGTGTTTGGGGTTTCTTTGTTTTTTTTGTTTTTTAATTTTCTTTTTTTTTTTTTGTAGAGGTTTTTTCCTATAGGGCACATGTGCTCGCCAGACAGACAAAGAGAGACAAGAGAGACAGAAAGTGAGAAATCACCCCCCAGGGAGGATGGCCATGCCGCAATCCCTTCTCTTCTCGGGATCTTGGGCACACATGCACAAGCGCCTGGTGTGAGTTTAAGCCACCGGGTCTGGGACTTGAACTGTGGTTGACTATATGGGAGTCCAGCGACATAGCCATTACGCTAACTGCTGGTCTCACATGGGTGTTTTTCAAGTTGCTGGGTGAGGAACTCAGACTACGCAGTAGGTTATGTGGGATCCAGTTCCCTCAACCACACCAGCAGGGCCACCCTGGAAGGGTTTTTGAGGCTCATATTAACCTTTAAAATTACTTAGCTTTTTAAGAAATAATTCAAATAGGGGCCTGCAGGAGGCGTGGTGGTTAAGGGGACTGGACTCCCACATGGCCAACTGCAGCTCGAGTCCCAGACCTGGTGGATTCCTTTCTCACTTTCCCTCTCTCTTTCTCTCTCTCTCACTCTGTGCCTCTGATCAAATTAAAATAAATAAATAGTTAAATAAAAGAATTTATAAATAAATTAATGAGGAAGGAAAGTTGTTCATAAAAAAAAAGAAATAATCCAAATACATAAAAACATTTTTAAAAAGTAATGTAATGGAAATTTATGTATCCTACACGTGCTTTAGGAGAACTTAAAATGTTAGCCTTGCCATATTATCTTCTGGAGGTTTTGGGTTTTTTTTTTAAGACATAAAACACTGGGGTCCTGTAGGTGGCATAGTGGTTAAGGGACTGGACTTCCATATAGTTGCCAATGGTTTGAGTCCTGGATCTGGCAGCTTGCTTTCTCACTTTCCCTTTCTCTCTTTCTTTCTCTCTCTGGTCAAAGTAAAAAATAATAACAACAAATAAAATAAAATAAATAAATAACTCTTTTTTTTAAATTCTGTATTAGAAGAGACCTAATTAATCAAGTTTTACTAAATGTGAATCTAAGAATCATTTTTTAGATTCAAAGAATCAAAATAAACATTTTTTTTTTTTAGGTTTTTGGCGTAAGGCATGTGTGCTCACTAGAAAGACAAAGACAGTTGAGTGTGAAAGTGAAAAATCACCCCTCCGGGGGGATGGCCACACCACAATCCTTTCTCCTCCAATCTCCTCTTGGGATTTTGGGCACGCACACACACATGCTGCTGGGTCCAGGACTTGAACCGAGTCACCCATGTGGTAGTCCAATGCCTTAATCAATATGCCACCTGCTGGCCCCAGACCCCAGAATTAAAATAATCTCAAAATTGAGTATATTCATCAAAAGGAGAGCACCATGATCAGAAAAACAAGACATGAAGGAAAGAACAGCAGGGAACAGTAGACTTTACCAAGGCGTGAATAATCTCATGTTTCACTGTGGACAGCATCCCAATAAACTCCTGAGGCTGGGTAGAGATCATATTTGGACACAGGTTAGCATATCCTGCTATTGGCCTGTTAAAATAGACATTATAGTTTTTATTATATTCAAGAACAATACTATATTTACTAACCTATACACTGCTTTATCAAAAGCTGCTCGAATACACAAAAATCTCTGCTGAGTATGAAATGCGATGTTGCCTGATAACAACCGTCACTATCTGTTGTTTTCAAGGCACGTATCCTCTGCCTTCTTACAGCATGTAGGTCAACATCTGTCTCCACACAGGATTATACTTTAGTGCGAATTTTTAAAATGTCACTGTAATACCAAAAAAGGAAAGACTAAAAACTCAAATTCCTCCACTATTTTACTTGCCAAATTCATATTTGACTTCAGCATTTCAAAAGACTTTCAGGCACAGAGACAAGTAGATAGTGAGAGAAACCAGTTTATTGCTGCAGCAGGACAATCGGTGAATCAATCGGGTTGCTGAAAGCTGCCGAACCTTCTTACCTCCATCTTGCTATCTGCCTTCTCCTACCCCAACACTGCCCACAGTCACATAAAGAGGTTTACATTCCCATCATCTTTCAAATTCCGTGCCTTGTGGAATCTACAGAATTCCACATGTCTCTATGTGCCCAGAACCTGAGCATCCAAGAGCAGACTAGAACTCAGAGTCCAGAGGAATTCTGTCAGTTCCACATGTACCTACTTACCTTTTAGAAGTAGTAGCAGACAGAGAAACTAAGGAACACCAAGGGGGATGGTGTTCCTCACCAAATTATAACTGCCTGTCTACAACAATCATTTGCCTCATTTCCATTGTAAACCTATAGCACCCTTTCTTCATACTGGACAGCAATAGACTTATACCCAGAAAATGGATGAATATAATTCACTTATCAAAACATTGCTATTATGGGACCAGCAGATGGCATAGTGGTTAGGTTGCTGAGACTCCCACACACTCGACCATGGTTCAAGTCCCAGACTTGGAGACTTAAAACTCATGCTGGGTGCATGTTCATGCGTGCCCAAAATCCTGAGAGGAGAATGGAGGAGAAGGGACAGTGTGGCCATCCTCCCTGGGGTTGGGGGTGGGTAGTGGCTTAAAACTCACGCCGGGCGCGTGTGCGTGTGTGCCCAAGAGCCCAAGAGGAGAATGGAGAAGGGATTGCGGTGTGGCCATCCCCCCTGGGGGGTGATTTCTTGCTTTCTGTCTCTCTGTCTCTCTCTGTCTGTCTGGCGAGCGCACACACCCTATAGCAAAAACCTCTTCAAAAAAAAAAATCTCTCTTAAAAATAAAAAAAAAAACATTGCTATTGTGCCTTCTAAGATATAACAATGGATGCCACTGCCAGGCTTAAAGCCTTTCAGACACTTCCTACAGCACTTAGAACAAACCAGTCCTGACCGTCTCTCCAAGCATTCATATTCCAACAGTGTCCATGAAGTGGCTTCTCACACCAACGGTACAAATGTCTCTTTCCTACTATAAACTCTTTTCCCTACCACTTTGCTTAGCCAATGCCTATCTGGTCACAGCTAAAATTTTACTTTTTCAAAGAGGCCCCTCCTCGCCTAATTGATCTGAGTGATGCTTCTTCCTTTTGTTCTCTTTTTTTTCTTTTGTGTTCTTTCTTGTTTTTAGGTTTTAACATAGGGTGTGTGAGCTCACCAGAGAGAGACGAGAGATACGGAGAAGGAAAGTGAGAAATCACCCCCCGGGGAGGATGACCATACCACAATCCCTTCTCCTCCATTCTCCTCTCAGAATTTTGGGCATGCACGCACACTTGCCTGGCGTGATTTTTCAAGCTGTTGGATTCAGGACTCAAATCACAGTCTGCCATGTGGGAGTTCAGCACCTTAACCACTGCCACATGCTGACCCCACTCTTTTGTTCTCTTTTGTGGTATAGCATCTTTTTTTTCCTACAAAGTTCCTATCACATTTTCACACATTTATTTTCAAGTATATTTAACTAAACTCTATCTCCCTCCATAACCTGCAAATTCCATAAGTTAGGTGCACATGTCTCTTTTGTTCACCTAGTATGCTGGCAGTGCATTAGGCATTCAGATATCAATAGAATAGATTAATACATACAGTTAGTTAGTTTGTTAGTTAGTTTGTTTGTTTGTTTTGGAGAGGTTTTTGCTATAGGGCATGTGTGCTTGCCAGAAAGACAGAGAGAGACAGAGAGATAGAAAGCGAGAAATCACCCCCCAGGGGGGATGGCTATGCCACAATCCCTTCTCCTCCATTCTCCTCTCCGGATCCTGGACACGCACGCACACACGCCCGGCCTGAGTTTAAGCCACCGGATCCGGGACTCGAACCTCAGTTGACTACATGGGAGTCCAGCGACATAGCCATTACACCAACTGCTGGTCCCCATACAATTAGTTTTAAAAAAAAAGTTTCACTTCCTTCAGAAAGAACTAAAGACACTGTTCTTTCTTCTAACATTAACACTTTCCTCAGAAACCAAAGTCTTCCCCAGATATGAGTAGACATAAATGAGCAGCTTCATTTACTGGCACAAAAACATCTATCTTTTCAGCTATTTACTCATACCAAATGTGACCCGAGTGTTAAAGTGTTACAAATAACACAGCAGTTCAATGAAACTGAAACACACTCTGTGGTTACAGGATTCTCATTCCGGCAACTCCTATGCTGGGTTCTCTCACCAAAGGACAAACAGATACCTTCGGGGTTTTCAGCATTCAGGTGCTGAAATGAAATTAACTCATTGAGATACAACCCAGCCGCATTTTATATTCTTCTTCTCACTTCCCCAGGGAGATCACTCTCTTCCTAACACACTGCCCTTCATGTCTTTCACAACCAAAGTAACAAAAGTTCATGGTTAACAGGTATACATTGGAACAATATAGAAGTATATAAAAAAGGGAAAATCCCGTTTTATACCCTACTAGACACCAAACTGCACTACTGGCAGTTACTACTAGCAGTAATTTGGTGCGTTATTTTTGAGTGACCAGCCATGCTAGTTAGCCCAGGACTGAGGGGATCCCTAGAACGTGGGACTCTCTCCTTTAAACTGCCTACTTGGTTCAACTAATATTTCCATTTTCCCCCCTTAAATTAATTATGTAATCAACAGAAGTGAAATAGCTCTTTCAAGTCAGCTAGACTTCTGTCGGATGGGTGTTCAGTACCTAAACAATGGTCTTTACAGTCATGAATTTGTCATACTATCCTCTCTGAGATGTGACAATGTTATATATAGCCTACTCTGAGACATGTGGTAATTTCCACAGCCCTTAATTGAGTAGTCTGATGTGTGACAGGCAATCTTCAACATACATAATAACTTTTCTTTCTTTTTTTTTAGAGCGATTTTTGCTATAGGGTGTGTGCACTTACCAGAGACAACAGAGACACAGAAAGCAAGAAATCACCCCCCCAAGTGGGGGATGGCCATGCCACAATCCCTTCTCCAATCTCCTCTACGGAATTTGGATACGCTTGCACATGTGCCCGGCATGAGTTTAAACCTCCAGGCCTGGGGTGTGAACTGTGGGGAGCCCAGTGATGTAACCATTACACCATCTGTTGGTCCACATAATAACTTTTCATTTCAAAGCTACACTGCTTCACCAGGAAATATTTTTTTAACTTTTGTAAATCATCAAGAGGCATCTGAATGTTTAAGTGATAATTCAACTGAGTGACATCATATAATAATATGATGATAGTTATTTTTTTAAAGAATTATTTTATTTAACTTTATTTATTTTAATTTGACCAAAGAGGGACAGAGTGAAAGTGAGAGAGAGAGAGAAAGTGAGAAAGCAAGTCACCAGGTCTAGGACTCAAACCACAGTCAGCCATGTGAGAGTCCAGCACCTTTGACCACCATGCTACCTGCTAGCCCCAATGATAGTTACTTTTAACATCTGACTTACAAAAGTGCTAATATTAAAGTTTGAATTATCTCCTTAGAGAAGTATTCACCTCAAAAGAAAATTATTTTTTTTTTCTTCCTTTTTTTTTTTTTGGAGAGGTTTTTGCTATAGGGCGCGTGCACTCACCAGACAGACAGAGACATAGAGACAGAAAGCGAGAAATCACCTCCCAGGGGGGATAGCCACACCGCAATCCCTTCTCCTCCATTCTCCTCTCGGGATCTTGGGCACGCACGCACACGGACCCAGTGTGAGTTTTAAGCCACCGGGTCCAGGACTCGAACCGTGGTCGACTACATGGGAGTCCAGCAACATAGCCATTACGCTAACTGCTGGTTCCAAAAGAAAATTCTTTTGACAGCTGACGTTTTCTTTGGGGTTTGTAGGCAAAATAGAAATGAAAGAGTGACAGAGGAAAAACTCAGGAAGTTTTTCACTCTTCTCTTGTTTTGACTAAACATTTCATTACCGTGTGAATAACAGTCCTTTCCGTGCAACCCACCACCCCAAATCCAGGCAGCATGCTATTTCTTTTTCTTTTTTTTTTAAGAATTATTTTATTTAATTTTAGTTATTATTATTGTCATTATTATTTTCCAGCTTGATCAGAGAGATACAGAGAGAGAGAGAGAGAGAGGAAGTAAGAAAGCAAGCCACCAGGTCCGAGACTTGAACCGTGGTCAGCCATGTGGGAGTCCAGCACCTCTAACCACCATGCCACTTGCCGGCCCCGGAGCATGCTATTTCTTACCAGCAGAGGCAATCTGGAAAGTCAGAGATCCCTTTATTTAACACTAGAAATACACTTTTAAGAGTTCCCATCCTAGATCTTGGGAAATTAGTGTGAGAGGCAAGCTTACCTGTCCATTCTTGCTTCCTGCTGCCAGTAGGCTGCGTAAGATGATGTTTTCATGGCTGCACCTCTCAGTGGCCAGGGCTCCGACATACAGAATAAAGTCTGCATCCCGGACACCCTCTTGGTCCTGCACTCCCACTCCTCCACAGGGCCACTTACCCCCACGGCAGACCCTGCATTGCTGTGCCCAGGGGAAAAATGGAAAAGCAGACCAGAGACAAGGTTAGCTGCAGGGACATTTAACCTTACAGTAAATCCAGACTGTAAATAGAGTATCATTTAACCTTCACACAGCATCCCTAAGCTTTCATTACAATTCTTACTATTCAGTTTCTATCTCTAATTTTGAATTTATTTAAAATTTTATAAAATGATGTCTATAATATCAATTAAACAAATGATTGATATTTATAAATGCCAACCAACCAAGATACAGAAAAGACAAAAAGAAGGATTTTCATGCTTTTGTTGTTGTTGTTGTTCAGTTTTGCTATAGGGTATGTATGTTCATTAGAGAGGAAGACATAAAGAGAGGGAAAGTGAGAAAGAACCCTCTCCCCCAGGGAAGGGGATGGTCACACGGCACTCCCTTCTCTTCAATTCTCCTCCTGGGATTTTGGGCATGCACACACTGGCACCCAGTGTGTTTTTCAAGCTACCAGGTCCAGGATTCAAAATGCACTGTTGGCCATGTGGGTCCCAGCCACCTTAACCTCCATGCCCGTGGCTGGCCTTAGAAAAGGTTTTAAATCTCTGAAACTGGTACAACTACAGAAGCAGACTGAAGCCACATGGAGGCCTAAGGCTCAGTTCCTGGCCCACTCTAAAAGCCAGGCATGACTGGGCACACACCTATAATCCCAGCCACTTGGGAGGCTGAGGTGGGAGGACCGTAATATAGTGACGGTCTACAAAAAATAATAAAAGGTAAAAAAAAAAAATTCTGGGGACTAACAGTTAGCGTAATGGCTATGTCACTGGACTCCCATGTGGTCGACCGCAGCTCGAGTCCCGGACCCAGTGTTAAACTCAAGCCAGGTGCATGTGCATGCGTGCCCAAGATCCCAAGAGGAGAATGGAGGAGAAGGGATTGCGGCATGGCCATCTCCCCAGGGGGTGATTTCTCACTTCTGTCTCTCTCTGTCTTTCTGGCGAGTGTGCACACCCTATAGCAAAAACCTCTCCAAAAAAAAAAAAAAATGGAATTATAGGGGCCAGCAGGTGGTTAAGGTGCTAGACTCCTACAAGGCCAGTCATGGTTTGATTCCTAGACCTGGTGGCTCGAAAATAATGCCAGGCACGTGTGTACATGTGCCCAAAATCCCAGGAGGAGAATAAAGGAGAAAGATTTTGGAGTGGCCATCCCTGCTGGGAGCTGATTTCTCACTTTCCCTCTGTCTCTGTCTGAGCGCACATGCCTTATAGCCAAACCTGAAAACAAAAAACAAAATAACCCAGAGATATTATGCCAACTTAAAGATGTTTTAGATAGGACCAGCAGATGTTGTAATGGTCATGTCGCTAGACTCTCATGTAATTGACCTTGGTTAGAGTCCCGGACCCAGTGGCTTAAAACTCACACTGGGTACGTGTTCATGCATGCCCAAAATCCCAAGAGGAGAATGGAAGAGAAAGGATTGTGGTGTGGCCATCCCCCCGGGGAGTGATTTCTCCGTCTCTCCAGTGAGCATAAAAAAAAATTTCACTTAAAAAAAAAAAAAACAGATGTTCTAAAAGACAAAAACAAAATTCTAAACTGAATTGATTCAGCAGACCCAGAGATAAGTGAGGGACAAAAAGGAAAGAAAATATCATTTAACTCACTTGAAAGCCAATGAAAGTAAAATCAGCACACCTGAATGTGAACACTTTTGGTAAAGGAATGAAGCTACTGTCTTTGAACGTAAGCATGTTAAAAACTCCTTGGTGACACAAATTCAAATTCTCCCCGAAGTTATCCCAAAGAGTAAAAATTGGCCCAGCTATTGTGGCACAGTGGTGATGCCAGTGTCCTGCCAAGTGGGAAACCCTATGGCAAGAGCAGGTTCTGATCCCAGGGCTGGCCCAAAATGCACCAGGAACCAAGATGGGCACCCAGAGCCCTGAGAAGCTAGAGGGCTGGGAGAGGAGACCACAACATGAGGAGTCGCTGTCAAGAGTGTTTCTCTGGGACCAGCAGATGGCGTAATGGTTGTATCGTTGGACTCCCACATAATCGACTGAGGTTTGAGTCCTGGACCCAGCAGCTTCAAACACGTCGGGTGCATGCGTGTGCATGCCCAAAATCCCAAGAGGAGAATGGAGGAAAAGGGATTGCGGCCTGGCCATCCTCTCGGGGGGGTGGGGGTGGGTGATTTCTTGCTTTCCGTTTCTCTGTCTGTCTGTCTGTCTGGCGACTACATGTGCCTTATACTAAAAATCTCTCTCTTAAAAAAAAAAAAAAAAAGTATTTCTCTCTCTCTGGGTCCAACAGATGGTGTGGTGGTTAAGGTGCTGGATTCCCACATGGCTGCCTGTAGTTCAACTCCCAGATCTGGTGGCTTGCTTTCTCACTCTCTGTTTCCAAATTAAAAATTAATACTAAATAAATTAAATAATTCTTAAGAAATAAAAAAGAGTGTTTCTCTCTCTCTTCTCTCCCTCTTTTATGTATGCACAGGCACTCTATCAAAAAACACAGAGTGAAATCGGTGCTAAGAGCAGGACGGGTTACCTGGAGATGTTCCTCAGGCACTATCACTGGGCCACATTTTGTATGCACTGCACATTCCCCAGTACAGTATCTATGAGGATCATTTTCCTTCCGAAGGTACTGGTTTGTTGCACATTGTCTTCAGTTTATTTGCACATCAAATTTAATTACGAAAGGAAGAAAGAAAGAAAGAAAGAAAGAAAGAAGAACAAATGGTTTACAGCGGTTAAAACCATGTGTAATAAACTGGTAGCCAGTATACTGCTTCACTAATAACAATTATTATTTTAATTAGGAAACCAGGCTAAGAAAGCATTTTGGTTCTATGGAAATCCTCTTGATCTGGGTTTCTGAACACCCACGTCTTTCGTAAAGCAAGTATCACAGGCCCGTGAAGGAGGGAGAACGGTGTGGTAGTGAACCAGGGACGGCTACACCCTAGGAACAGACCCAGTGAGCCACTTCATAATGGAAAACCAGGGAAAGAATGACTACCCGGCAGGTGCTCTGTCATTCTCTTTAAATATCTTGCAGTTTGAACTCCAAGAGCAAACACAGTAAAATATTCTGGTATAAGTTTCCTCCTTTGTCACATTGGTCAAGTGGGGAGAGCAGAAGAGAACTGGTGGAGAAAGCAATCGTGTTTACTGTGACATACCTGCTCAGTAAGATGGTGCCAGCAGGTCTGCGAACCTGAAACGTCTTCTCTAAGTAAGAAATTGCTTGTGGGAAAAGTTTGTTCTAAATAAGTAAAAGTTGAAAAAAGAAACCCAGTCAGAATTACAGTCAATGGATGAGTTGTATTTAATACAAATAAACATACGATATTAATGAACAAAGGGAAAAAAGGCCACGATTCTGAAATACAGACATGAGTCGGTCAAAGGCTGTGGGGCAGTCTAGGAAGAGAGTGAGTCGAGGAGGAGAGGAAATTCCTTGTTTTCTAGCTGAGTTTGAGAAAAGGATACTAAGTAGAAACACTGTGCCCTACCCCTAATTAAACACAATGTTAGAAAACATTCATCTCGGGGACCAGCAGGTGGCGTGGTGGTTAAGGCGCTGGACACTCCCACACGGCTGACCAGGGTTCAAGTCCTGAATCTGGTGGCTTGCTTTCTCATTTCCTCTCTCTCTCATTCTCACCCTTTGTCTCTCTCTAGTCAAACTAGAAAAATAAATGAATGAGTAAATAAAATTTTAAAAATTATTAAAAAAAAAAAGAAAAGAAAACATTAATCTCAACTGTTAATATAGATAACCTCGAATTTGAAACTGACTTAGATGATTCAAACGTTACGGCAGTTTATGTCAGACAATATTACGTTTAGTTAAACTCAGCAACTTCTGTAGCCCCTGTGGGCTTAAGAGTATGTGTGTGTAACTCCACACAGTTAAAAATCAGATGAGGTTAACACTTCCATAATCAACTATGGCATATCACACTATCAGGTCAATTCATCTTCAGGAGAGCGAACATTCCTAACAAGAGAATGATGTTTTCTTTTTTTGTTTTCTTTTTTTGCTATAGGGCACGTGCGCTCATCAGAAAGACGGAGACAGACAAAAGTGAGAAATCACTCCCCGGGGGGATGGCCATGCCACAATCCCTTCTCCTCCATTCTCCTCTTGGGATCCTGGGCACGCGTGCACATGCGTGAATTTAAGCCACTGAGTCCAGGACTCGAACCACTGTTGACTACATGGGAGTCCAGCGACGTAGCCATTACGCTAACTGCTGATCCCGGTGTTTTCATCAGACCGCTGGACTCCCATGTAGTCGACCACAGTTTGCGTCCTGGACCCGGTGGCTTAAAACTCACACCGGGCGCGTGTGCATGTATGCCCAAGATCCCGAGAGGAGAATGGAGGAGAAGGGATTGTGGCGTGGCCATCCCCCCTGGGGGGTGATTTCTCGCTTTTTGTCTCTGTCTGGTGAGCGCATGTGCCCTATAGCAAAAAAAAAAAAAACCCTTTCCAAAATAAAAATAAAATAAATTCTTTAAAAAAATATATCAACACCAACAAACTTTTGGTGAGTAGATCACAAAATCACCTTTGAAGAAATGAATACATTTGTCATCTTTCATTTAGTCATTCACAAAACAGTCCTTTTGTATTTTTCTTTATTGAGGTAGAATTTATATACAATAACATGCATCATTTTAAGTATCCAATTCAAGCCATGAGTATATTACATACCTTCACAAGGTATCTTTTCTCAGGGAGCAACCTGAAAATGATAACATAAAACATAAGAACTGCCATTCAGAGGCAGTTAGAAAGGCATCTGTCAAGAGCCCCAAGGAATGCTGCATGGAAGATACAGTATCTGTCCTCTAGACTTCCACATACTTCAGCACCTAGTTTAGTGTTCACACTGAGCCAAAGCATGGGAAGCACAATCACGCATTACTGCATTTACTTGAGCTGTTAAGAATGGGGAAGATGGCCAGCCCATGGCACAGGTGGCTAAGGTGGCTGGATCATACATAACTGACTGCACAGTGCAGTCTCCAGCAAGCAGTATGCGAAACATGCTGGGCACGTGTGCTTGCCAGAAGAAGGAATAAATGCAAGAGAAGACATTGCAGTGTAAATATTCTCCATGAGAGGTGCGTTCTCATTTCCTTTCTCTCTCTCTGTCTATCTCTAGCAAGTACAAGCACCTTCTAGCAAAAAAAAAAAATGAATAGGCAAAAGACATTAAAGTACTCTCACAGATCTTTAGACGCTCCATAGATTTTATTTCCTGGACTCCCTCTGACACTAAATAAAAATTAAACAACATAATCACTCTGATTAATAATTTCATGAGCTTATTTGTAGTAGTACTTCTTCTCATTTTTATTTCTAGAACTTATAGAAGAGTACCTTCCAGGTCTGTTATTGACCCCATCCAATTAGACTCACTTTTGTTCAGTTCAAATTATTCAAGATGGGAGGACCAGCAGGTGGTGTGGTGGCTAAGGTGCTGGACACTCTCACATGGCCAACCACAGTTCCAAGTCCCAGACCTGGTGGCTGTGTTCTCACTTTCTCTCTCTTTGACTCTCTCTGCTCAAATTAAAATAAGTGAAAGAATAAATAAAATTAAATAAATCTTTTTAAAAAAATTATTCAAGATGTATAGACTTTACTTTTATCCATGCCTTCATGTTTTCAGACTAAAAAGCAATTTCATCTTAATATCCTGCTGTTTTTTTTTCTTTATAGTTACATCTATGGACTTTGTATTTTTACTTCTAGTAATAGATGACAGTACCTTTAATATTTAGATTCATAATAAGAAAGATGACAAACTCGTGTACTTACTCTTCAATACTTTTATCATAGACAGTCTTGATTCTTAAATGCTCATCCACATCTCTCTTTATAACATGATTTGCCTTTAGATGAACCTTATTTATGATCTGTAAAAAGGAAATAGATTTGAAAAAGCTTTTCAGTGTATAGATTAACCAATTGAGATCCAAACTCAAAATTAACTAAATTTTAAGTGTAACATCCAGGAAGAAAGTCCCTTGGCTCATATTCCATCATTTAGCTTTCCTGAACCTCACACCTTTCCCAAGCAATTACTGTTACCTGGAAGGCAAGCAGTTTTAACTTGAGTCACATAACTAAGTCATTATAGTAACAGCAGCTGACAAAAAGTTTGTAGGTTTCTCTGTCACTTACTTGTAGCTTATAGAGATTCTAGTTCCACTAATTTTGAGTCTTTAGAAAAATAACAGGAAGAAACCAAAAGTAACTTAATTACTTTTAGAAAGGACGGCATTTCCCTTTTGAGTTTTTTTGCTTTGATTTTTTCCTCTAGTTCTCATTTATATTTTTTTCAAGAACTATTTCTGAACATTTATACAAGGAAAATAGAAATTCATAATTTCTAGCCATTGGAGTAGTGGTTAAGGTGGCTGGATTCCACATTGCTGACTGCACAGTTCGAGTTCCAGACCTGGTGGATTGAAAACACACTAACTGTGTGTGCACGCCCAAAATCCCAAGAGGAGAATGGAAGAGAAGGAATTGTGGTATGGCTATCCCCCTTAGGGGATGCTTTCTCACTTTCCTTCTGTCTCTCTCTCCAGCGAGCACACAAGCCCTATAGCAAAATTTTTTTAAAAAGAAAAGAAGGACCAGCAAATGGTGTGGTGGTTAATGATCTGTCTGAATCCTTCAGTCCAGACCCAGAGGCCTGAAAAACACATTGGGCAGGGGTACCCAAAATCCCAAGAGGAGAGTGGAGGAGAAGGAATTGTGGTGTGGCCATTCCCTGGGGAGTGAGCAGGGGGGTGATTTCACGCTTGCCTGTTCTCTCTGTCTCACTCCAATAAGCAAATGCGCTCTACAGCAAAAATCTTTAAAGGAAAATAAAAAAACAACTATATGCTATGTCTTTAATATAACAGTTACAGAGACCAGCAAGTGGTATGATGGTTAAGGCACTGGACACTCCCACATGGCCGACCACGGTTTGAGTCCCATACCTGGTGGCTTACTTTCTCAATTTCCCTCTCTGTATTTCTCTCTGGTCATATTTTTTTTTAATTAAATTAAATTAAATTACTAATAATTAAAAAATAACAGTCACGAATTTCCATAATACCTATTGCCTACTCTACTACAGTGGCCTAACACCCTGCCTTCTCCAGTCTTTTTCCCATTCTTTTTTTTTTTTTTTTTTTAGGTAGAGGTTTCTGCCTTAGGGTGTGTTGGCTTTCCAGAGAGAGAGACAGACAGTGAGAGGGAAAGTGAGAAATCACTCACACACACACCCCCAAGGGCGATGGCCACACCACAGTCCCGTCTCCTCCATTCTCTTCCTGGGACCTTGGACATGCAAACACATGTACCTGGTGTGAGTTTCAAGCCACCAGGTCCAGGACTGAAACTGCAGTTAGCCATGTGGGAGTCCAGAGACGTAACTGCTACACCATCTGCTGGCCCCTCCCATCCCATTATTTTATAGGCAGTAAAAAACACAGAAATGTCCAAGTACAGAAGGGATATGATATTCCTGGATGTGTTCCTTTTGAGAGGTTTTTGCAATAGAGAGCATGGAGAGAGAGAAACAGGGAGAGTGAAAGAGAAAGTGAGAAATCAACCCCCGGGGAGACAGCTACCCGCAATCCCTTCTCCATTCTCCTTCTGGGATCTTAGGCACGCTCGCACATGCGCCTAGTGTGATTTTTGAACCTTGGTCGGCCATGTGGGAGTCCAGCATCGTAACCACTACTCCATCTGCTGGCCCCATCTCAGATGCATTTTAAGAAACTTGAAGTAAAAAATGTTTAAGTTTATATTTAAAGCCCTCCAGAAATCAGTGGTAAAGATTTGGATCTAAGGGCTAACAGATGGTGTGGTGGCTAACGCGCTGGACTCCCAGAAGGCCGACCGTGGTTTGAGTCCTGGCTCTGGCAGCTTGCTTTTTCACCTTCCCTCTCTGTCTCTCTCTGGTGTGGGTGTGTGCCTTGTACCAAATTAAAAAATAATACTGGGGCTGGCAGGTGGCGTGGTGGTTAAGGGTGCTGGACTCCCACATGGCCAACCATGGTTCAAGTCCCGGACCTGGTGGCTTGGTTTCTCACTCTCTCTCTCTCTCTGTTTCCCTCTGGTGAAATTAAAAATAAATAAATAAAGCTAAATAAAATAATTCTTTAAAAAAATAATAATAATCTATTCTCTTTGTCAACAAAGCTACTATAAAGAAAAAAATAAGAACACTTTCACTGCAAAGAAAATTCAAGACGAAGATGATTTCACTTATTATGAATTATGCTGAAACATTTAAGGAAGAAATTATGTCAATTTTATACAAACTTAGAAAATAGAAGAGAATGGAACACTTTCTAACTCATTATGTATGGCCAGTATAATCCTGATGCCAAACAAAGCTGACAAAAACTTCACTAAAAGGGATATTTCAAATTGATATTGCCCATAAACATAAATATGGAAATGCATTTTTTTTAATTTTAAGTGTATTTATTTACTTACTCGACAGAGGCTTCACACTGAGATCCTCCCACCCCAGGACATGATCCCGGCTGGCAGCTCTGCCAGAGTGCTCAGACAGACACAAACCTGGGGCCTCCCCACATAGCCTCCCATATTACGCAGCAGCACATCTGCTGCCTGGGCCACTGCCACCACGGCCACACCGGATGCACAAATCCTTTTTTTACGTATTTTTAAAATTTCTGTACTGCCAGAAGGTGCACACACTTCCTAGACGTGGAGAGACAGAGAGAGGGAGGAAGTATCCCTCGATGGGACATGATAACATTGCAATTCTTTCTCCTCCATCTCTCCATCCTTTCAGGATTTGGGGCCAGGACCTGACCTGTGCTTGGCTGAGATCCAGCTCCCTTAACCACTAGGCTATGGGGCCAGCCCCACAAATTCTCAGCAATGTAAGAGCAAATTATACCCAGCAATGTAAAAGGGTAATACAGGCCAGTGGGTAGTGCAGAGATTAAGGCAGCTGCATCCCACATGGCCAACATTTTTTTTTTAGAGAGAAAATTTTATTTTCTTATTTCTGAAATTATAACATTTTTTAGTGTTAAAAGTCACTTTAAAAAATATTGATTTATGGGGACCAGCAGGTGGCATGGTGGTTAAGACGCTGGATACTCCCACATGGCTGACCAGTGTTCGAGTCCTGAATCTGGTGGCTTGCTTTCTCACTTCCCCTCTCTCTCACTCTCACCCTCTGTCTCTCTCTGGTCAAATTAAAAAATAAATGAATGAATAAAATAAAATAAAATAAAATAAATATTTAGAAAAAAAATATATATATATATTTACTTCATGAGACAAGCACCCCCAATGTGGTCCTCATGCCACAGCCCACGTCTCTCAGCCCGCCTGGATCAGAGGCACACACACACATGGCCAGAGTACTTTCAAGGAGGTTCCAGAATACAAACACAGATCCTTTCCCATGTGGGTTCAGCTGAATTACCACTGTGGCCACCACCTGATCCCTAATATTTACTTTTAAGTGTGATGGTCAAGGATCAATAAGACACCAAATGCAGAAATTATACAGTTTTATAATTTTCTCTGTTGCTTAATTCACTGAAAATAGTTTCACAATTCAACACTTTAGGCAGCTTCTTTTTTACTTTCTTCACTTTCTACTTCTTTAGGTAACAATGAATCGATCTTTAGTAATAAACCTTCACTTGTCGAACTAGGAAGGAAAATGCAATGTGTAGCCACAAAGTGACCCAAACTCAGTGGTCTATACCTACAAGCTTCATTAATAACTGCTTGCAGACTGGCTGCTATCTGATCACTTGACATATCCAATGTAGCTATTTTGATCTCAAGAAAGTTCTCCCTTTCATCAACGCTGTTAACGTCATGTCCAGTTTTAAATAATTCAAGCATTTTGGGGATGTCATGGTTGATGGAATTTTGAATAAGCTTTGGAAATTTTTTCAGTTTCTTCCTTAATGGATTGAGATCAGCCATTATTTCTGGAACAGCTACATAAAAGTCTGCATGAACTTCATCATCCAAAATCTTCTGAATCAGATTAGTTCCTCCTGCAAATGCAGCTCCATTTTCTTCTATTTCAATTTCTGATTCCCTGTAAATGCTGCAACTTTATTAATTTCTGAAGTGAATGGGTATGGAAGATTAAGAACATGGGCAAATGGTTCCACTTTTTTCTTCTTTCCCAGTGCTATATCCAAATGTCAAATCAAGATAAACACCTTGCTTCAGATTAGTAAAGTCCAGAACCTGAAATTTCTTAAGTAAACGAATAGCTTTCTCTACTTCATATATATGCCTTGGGTATAAGCGTTTTAAATAGACATCATCCTCAGGTTCATCTTCTATGTGGGGATATGACTTTATTTTTTCTATCTCATCTTTTGTTTTCATCTGATGTCTTTTCTTTGGCACCTTTTTTTGCAGGCTTTGTAGCAGCAGCAAAATGTCATCTGAATGGTTACAGAACAAGGATAAAAAGATACCTGACAAACAATCTTGGAAAAACTATGCTTTTGATGATGTGTCAAGACCCTACAAAGAAATCTTACGGCCGCCGCCACATTGACCATTCTGGATTGTGTTGATCTTTTTCCTTTTTTTTTTTTTTTTTTAAGAGATTTTTGCTATAGGGCTCATGAGAGAAACAGAGAGAGACAGAAAGCAAAAAAAATCACTACCACCACCCCAGGAAGAATGTCCGTATTGCAATCCAAAGACCTTCTCTTCCATTCTCCTCTCAGGACTTTGGGCATCCACGCACACGCACCCAGCGTGAGTTTGAAGCTGCCAGGTCTAGGACTCAAACCATGGGTGACTGCGTGGGAGTCCAGTGATGTAACCATTACGCCATCTACTGATTCCCCAAATGGCGAACTGAGCAGTTTGAGCCCTGGACCTGGTA